CTTTAAGCACTGAAAGGTTGCAGTGAGGTCTCTCCAGAGCCTCCTACAGGCTGAAAAAACTCTTCCCACTCAGTCTTTCTTCATAGGAGAGGTGCTCCAGCCCTCCAGCATCTTTGTAGCCTTCTCTGAACTCACTCTGAAAACTCCACATTTTTCTTTTGCTGGAGGCCCACAGGAATATGGCATTTTGCATGGAGTGGCTCTCAGTGTGGCTCACCTGGAGCTCACCGTGCAGAGGACGTGCCCAGCATTCCTGCACAGGAAGCAATCCTGAAGGTCGTTCCCTAGCCTGGGGAACTGATCCAGTGGCACAGTTACATGGAGTGTTTAGGGTGGAAGTTGAGCTCTCTGTGATGCGCTGCAGCTAGCCATAAGCAGGAGGCCTGAGGAGTGGTTATAAGGAAGTGCGTACCTTTGCCTCTCAAAGAAGAGATCTGTGCAATGGCATGATGGAGATCCAGGCTTTGGTCTCTTTCACACCCTCAGCACAGCTACCTAGTGAGAGCACACTTTGAAGGTAGGGTGCTGCCTCCTGTGCCTTGTTGCAAACACCATTGAAAAGGTTGTTGGGCTAGGTGGCCTCCTACCCCCATGTCACTATTATTAGGCTGTGCATGCAGCAGGTGGAACACTGAGGGAAGCTGCAGATTCAGCATGCCTGTCCAGTCCCTTCCTGGAGGGGTGGGCAGGGAGACCCAGCTCCATGGGGCCATCCCAGGTGCCTGGGAAGGTACTTGGCTGGCAGCTTATCTGGCACTGGGCAGCAGTGTAATCTGCCTGCTCCAGCCCTGGCCCGGTGGCTCTCAGCCACCTTTATGGTTTGGAAGTGAGAAGGATGCCTGTATCGGAGCCTGAGAGTAGCATAATGCCTTTGGTACCGACTGCACCTCAACAAAATAAAACTCATGTCTGGGCTGCTTGGCTGTTTTGGAAGGCTTGGTGCCATGGCTGTCCCACTGTGTTTTTGCTCAGGGGAGCAAGGTGCTGCTCAGCTGGGTCAGCATGAGCATGGGCTGTGCGGAAATGTAGCTCTCCTGCCAGGCAGTCTGAAGAACGTGTGGCAAAAAAGAGAAAGCTGAGAAACTCAGAAGCAGAGAGATGATGTGACCTGCAAGCGTGGACTTCACATAAACAAATGAGTAATTAATTAAGGTAATATGCTTGTTTTGACCAACTAACAAGCCAAACTTGGCCCACTGTTGTTACACTGTTTTCGTTTTAGCTGCAGTGTTTTCACAAAGTATTTTCAGCCAGGCAGGACAATCCCTTACGTCTTACCTGTTGGAGCAAGTAGTATTGCTGAATTGTATGCCATGTTGCAGCAGTACAAACCTGATGTCTGTGTAGCCAGGAAGAGTTGTGGTTATTTTGTCCTGGAATGAGCTCCAATTCAACCTACATTGTATTTCAAATCACCTGATGTTACTAGTTTCGTTTATAATCATGTACTTAATCTTTGGAATGCCATGTAATGATGAATTCTGGTAGATTTGATAGAATCAGAGAATAATAGAATGGCCTGGGTTGAAAAGGACCTCAAAGATCAGCTAGTGTCAACCCCCTGGCCACAGGCAGGGTCATTCGTCACTAGACAAATTTGGGCATTTTTATTCATATGTAATATCAGATTAAAATATAGTAGGCAATACATGAGTGATGCTGATATATGAGACATGAATAGCTTTTTTCTTAGGTTTGTAGGATTGCAGTTTGCATTCTGAGAGCATGATTCATTTCCTACTGTGAAACTTGGGCTGTTGGCACTGAGGGTGTGGAGCTTGCCAGTACAGGCCAAAGAATAGATGGAGTTGTCCAGGAAAGAGTTGGGCCACGGGACTGTCCGGAAGATATGCTTGAGTCAGTGTAGTTCACAGGTCATTTGATCCACGTCTTGTCTAAATATTTTGTACTACTCTTATATCCATGCTGATGAATTCAGTATTGGCTGAAGGACAATGTCCCTGTGATGGCAGCTCCTCGCAGGGAAAAGAGCACCAAAAAAGAGGTGCCACTTGTCTCCACTGCAGCAAACAGTCATTCATAACTCTGACGCATGGATCCTGCCTGCAGATGCATCCTACCGCTGCAATGCACCGGTGAAATTGAGAGCTGACAATAGTGGAGCCATCACAACATAAATCAAGACCTTTATAGATCACACATTGTCACTTGCAGGTAATTTGAAGCTATTAATGCCACACTGCAGTTCTGGATGGCTATATGTAAGTGACTCGCACGGATCCCTGCAAGTCATCAGGCTACAGATGACATCTAATAGGTAGAAGAGTAGTTTTCTTTCAGCTTGGTCTGGCAGCAGCACTAGGTGTACAGTCCCTATTCTCATGATTTATGCAATGCCATTTAGCTGGTACCACATCCATGGCAGTAGAAGGGCTGGTTGAGTGTTCCTGTTTCTCTTGTTCTTGATTACCCTTCTACTCCTAGAACTCATCAAAAATCTGTTGTTTTGCTCTCCACAAAAGAAATCTAAATAAGTCAAAAAGGCTGTTACTGTAATTTCCAGTTTGAGATATATTTTATTAAAATGTTATCCTCTTGATAAAACAGTGATCAGTCTCTGATTGTGCAGTGGTGTTTCAGAGTTAATTAATAAATCATGCCTACACTTTTCATTTAGAAAAGATTTTAGAGACATAATTAATTAAACCTGACACTGTCCTCGTGGAATAAGGAAGCACTCCGACTTTTTAAACAGTGAAACTCAGGCAAACTGGTTATACTGCTTTCTCAAGTAAGTGGCAGGAACAAGGCTAGAATTTAAAATTCTGTATTATTTTGGTATCATTTTCAGAGCACCCATTCTTTCCTTGTTTCATTCTTTGCATGTGATGTCTGGGTTACTGAGTTTGGCCTCATGGTCTGTTACATGCAATATGTTGGACTATTTTCTGCTTAAAATCTGTTACTTCATCTAACGTGCAGCAGAGGGATTTTCTTTTTCAGTATCTGAAACCATGAGATACATAACCATCAAAATGCTACTTGGTCATTCATTCACTCATCCTCATTATTTCCTCCAGTATATTGCATTTTAATAGCAGTAGCAGCACTTTACAGCAGCTGATAACGGCCCCACTCAAGACCAGGATCACATTATGCAAGACTCAGTGCTCAGAGATACTCACTGGCCCATCACTTCTAATGTGTGCATACAAGATGCCTGTGGTAGGGAAGAGCACGGAAATGGTTGTTCACCAAGATGCTCAGCGTAACAAACATTGAGTCAGAAGTTGTGCTGATAAGAATTCAACGTTTCTTGCTCTTAAGTGTATCACTTACAATGTGAAACAGACGTGCATTTTCCTTTTACAACATTGTAAGTGTGCAGAGATGTTAAAAAACGGAAGCCATAGAAAGAACTTGAAAACCTATCTTTTAGGAACTGGTTTTCCATCTACTAGACAGTCTGTCACATTCTGTAATGTATGTGGAGACTGGCTCACCTGGCTATATTTTCTTTTACGTTTTCATGGTGTCCCAATGTGTAAGTTGCAGATAGTATATTTGCAAACCACAAACATTTTATGCACTTTCATGTTATTTTTGCATGAAGGTCAGGACAGCATGAAAAGAAACCTGTGCATGCATATTCTCAGAACAATAAGTAAGAAGCTGTATGACACAAGGGAACACTTTTTACTTCAGACACTGACATCACAGTGTTTGACAAAAATGCGATTAACCCTAATGAATCTAAGTTGGTATTTGCAGGTGCAGCTTCCTGCCAAGCATCAGTAGTCATCTGCTTCAGTTTTTGTGTCATCAGCACAATGGCTCGAGACAGTGCATATGATACCTGATACTGGATCAGCAGCAGCTGGGGGAGAACTAGAGACATCACATTACTTGTATGACCCTGTATTATGCAATGGCGACTGTTAGATCCGCTTATTGTCTCACGGTGAACGCCTACATATCAATCTCCAAATAAGTCTGTGATGAATAACTACATTTATTCTCCCTATAGACCACAGTTGGTGATGATGCAGATACTTGTCAAGATTTAAAAATAACTGCTTTTTTTTTTTTGACCATCACAGCACTCCCTTTGCTGTGTACGTACTTTTGTCTTCATCCTATGCAAGAATATGGAAAGTGGGGTTTTTCTCAAAGAAACATGTACCGCTCTGCGCATGCAAATATCGAACCTGAGAAACTAAGGCTTGTTTTTGTTTGGCCGTGAGTATCAGCACCACAGTCTGCCTTGCTTGTGTTGTCAATGATCATTTTAAATTTGGCAGCAATAATTTGAGATAAATTGGCTAATTAGACGCCCAGGTAATACTGCAGTTGATACTTCCTGGCCGGTCAGATTCTGGTATTTCCTTAACCTCATACATTGCCTCTTACTTATTAGTTTCAGTGCTTAGATTTGATCTGTTCTGATCAATTTTGACCGAATGCAGTGGGGGAGAAATGAATGGGCTAGTTGTTGTTTACAGTATATTTTACTGGAAAACAATACCAAATGTAGGTCTCTGCCTCCATACCTCTGCTCTCCCTGTAATGAAGCTAACTGCTTTTAATTATAGCTTGTAGAGACACTGCCGAATTACTTAATCTCCGTTTAAAGTCTGGATTCTGGTTTCTTAATTGGCATCTGAATGTTTGGCAGCTTTGAAAAAAGTCCAAAGCTAAGAGAGAGCAGGATGAAATGTGTTCCATGAATAAATGTGTCTGACCTCTATACTATAAAGTCTTAAGAAACAGCAGAGATTGAACGTTCGCGTGCCTTTGCCATGTGAGCTTTTCATCCAATTGTGATGTTGCGTGCAATAACTAGAAGCTCCAAGAGCAGAAGAAATCACACTGTTCTTGAAACGATCGGCTGAGGTGGAAAAAGGGAAAAGAGATCAGGTATCCTCATTTTCTTTTCAACTGAGACGGAAGTCGATTTGGAAATGTTCCTTGCTGAAACAGAAGTTGCATTTCCAGTAGTTGGGAGGAGCTCCCAGATTACATTACCCCACCCACGTCTGGTTGCTTTCGGTTTACCTCGGGAAATTCTACAAGGAAACTGAAGGAGAGAAAGAGCACAGCAGCAAAAGGAGGAGCACAGAGAACCTATCTAAAAAGATAAAAAGTTAAAGTAGTGCTTCAAACAGGTATGCCCTCATTTTGAGTTATGTTCAGCAGAGATAACGAGTGGCTAGCAGTCTGTTTACGGGGCACGGCATACTGTGTGTATTCATAAATGTCATTTAAAGCAGATCACATCACCAATTTGTTCACCCCTTGATGAAACAATGAGTTAGATCCTCACCTATTGACCGCTGTCAAAGCTCTACTGACTTCAGGGAGAAGTGTCTTAACTGAAGGATCCAGTCTGCAGCGTAGAGAAGCCTCATTCTTTGAATGCTGGGTTTGATATGGCTTCCTTTCAGCCAGCTCGTAATGAGTGCCACATACATTCAGACAACTTTTTTGTAATAATAATACTTATCTTCTGGTTTAGAGATAATTCTGCTATCCTGAAGAGGACCTGCAAATGGATAATGACAGGTGCATGTTTTTCTTTTTAGAGGAAACACTTCTGGGGGGAGGGGGGGGGGGGGAGGGAAATGCTTTTCTTTGTTTTTATACAATAAATTCAATCTTGGGAAACACTGACTTTATAACATTACAGCCATGAGTAGATTCTTGTTTGCTTGATTTTGGAATAGTTTGCTGTATTTTCACACACATGTTGTTGTAATTAGCATGGTGTTAGGAGTATCATCGGTGTACCCTGGACTCCTCTCAGTATTTCTTCTAATCCTTTCCAAAACAGAGGTAATCATGTGTCATCTATGAGGAATTTACAGTACAGAATGGTATGCCCCTTGAGGATCTTTCTTAAGACACATGTATGTGACTCTTAGAAAAATCGTGTCCCCGTATGGTTGCTTTTGAACATTAGTGACATGACAGTGACACTGCTGTGCATATTTTTCCTTCGTTTTCCTGTCCAGCTTGGGCTCTGGCCTAGAAGTTGGTGTCAGACGGCTTGATTCTGAAAGTAGTGCTATGAACAAATTGTGCCAGTGTGTAAAAGTCACAGCCAGAAAGTCTTGGTGATGGCGGTTGTTGTTAGGGTTTTTGTTTATTTTGGTTTTGTTTTGTTTTGCTCTCCCCCAACATACTGTTCTGTTGGAGCAGGAAATCACAGGAACAGTTTGTCAAAAGAAGCCTTGTGCCGCTGGAGCCACGTCTCCTTGTCTCAGGTCTGCAGAAGCAAGTTCACTGCATGGTGTGCACTGCAGCCCTTTGCCCGCACAGGCTCTCTACAAAACGATCTTGGGGGAGTCATAACCTAGCATCTTAAATACTGCACTTGTGGCTGATCTTCATGGCTCTCTGAGCCACGTACCAAAATTGGGTAGTGCCAGATAGCCTGCTCGTTCTTCAGCGAGCCAAGTGAGAAGGGTCTTTTGTGCCTATTGCAGGTGGGAAATGATGGCATCTCCCAGGAATGTTCTGTGTGGGTCAGAGCCAGGCTAAAGGGTGGAACTTCAATGTAATGGCATTGACTTCAGTAGCTTTGGATAAAGTATTCCCTCTCACAGTAGGGGTTTAGCCTGTGTAAGCACAGCCCCTCTGCTGGATGTAGGACACAGTGCCAGCATGGGAGCTGTGCCTGAAAACCTTATAGCCCAGAGGACACTTGCAGCCTTTCCTGCAGCTTTTTTGCTGAGGTGTTTAGTGGTTCTTCCCTGCCTTTGTCTTGAGACCCATGCCCTGTAGTCCATGCTAAACCCAGCTGATGTTCACCACTTTGGTGGCTAGATTTCAGCTAGTATGCTTGTATGCTTTAAGCATTAGTACCAGGAGTTAGCATAACAAAACTGTAGTCAGTCCCCAGAGAACATAAGGTTTGCCAAAAACACCCTAAGTTTGTGCATTCTCGTTTGCCTTCTGCTGCTTGTTTGTTTGTTTTGGTGGGTTTTGGAGCTGTTAGGGAATCAAACCTGTCTCTGCAAGCACAGCTGCCTGACATTTTCTTCAGCATTCAAAAATAGAAGATGAACTTCTGATGTTATCACCTGTCTGAAAGGATTTAGGGCTTATTGGCAACCAGCTAAGACATGGAAGTCAAATAGGAAGAACTGGAGCTGCCTGAAAAATTCTTCTCATACACCAAGGAACACGGAACGCTCTTAAAGCATCTGGGCCGTGTGAAGGTGCCTTTGCAGTGCCCACAAAGAGAATGAGACTTGGAAGGTATGGAGTGTGTTTGGAAGCCTGGAACTTCTAATTCTTGCTCTAGCACCAGGCATATGTGAAGCATCTTCTTTTTTTCTTTTTTTTTTAAGACAGCTTTTAACTGTGGTTCCTGTCTTTGGGAATGCGGTTGAAGTCATACTAAGCCAGATTAAGAGCTCAATACCTTCAAATCCTTTAAATCTCAGCTGGGATCGAAGATACTCAGCAATGTGTAGTAAGGACAAGTTAGTCCAGAAAGGATTCGGATGTGAATTATGCTGGATAAGTTTCTGAGGATTTGGAAACTCTACCAAGCAGCAGTAACATCAAGCACTGTTAACAGCAACTGTAGTTTTCGCACTGAGATGCCTCGTGAGATGCAAATTGGAAAAAAAGGAGGAGAAATGAATAAAGATGATTTTAAAATGTGACACAGTAAAGTATAGACTACAAAGTATGGGAGTTACTGAGAATGTTGGGAAAATAGGAAGCTTTTATTTCTCTAAACCCCCCCAAACTCTGCAGCCTCCTAAGACTGAAAGGAACTTAATTAACGTTCCTTGCTGTCAATGTTCTGTATGCCACTCCACCTTCTCATTCCCTTTTCTGCTGTCACTCAGGAGACTAGGCTTCCCAAAGTAGGCTTTGAGATTTGGGAGTACTTGTTAAGAAAGACAGGATATGGCAGAACACCTCACAGTGGTGCTAGGATCAGACCTCAGAATAATAATTTCATTTCTGAAAACCTTTCTCAGTAGATCCACAAGGTGGGCTTGTGAAGCATCAATGCCATTTCAAGACAGTCTTGTTTATGAGGTTTTACATGGAAGAAACAGATCCATTTTGAATGTAACTCTTCCACAAACTATTGTCACAAATAAATTATAATATTGGGCATCATACCAGATGCTTTGCTTTGCTGTTGGAGCCTGAGTACTATGCTTGGTGTTGTCTGCATTGTATTAAAGCATGGCTGAGTTTCACTCCAGCTGCTATCCCTAGGGCCCTCATGAAGAGGAGATTCATATCTCGTGAGATTACCCCACCGAGCAAAGAAATGGAATAAATAATACTACTCTTTTAGTTCTGTCAAGAATAGTAGCTCACAGAAAGAGCTTTTAAAGGCAGTGTCAGCATGGGCTAGATACGGCACCAGTGTGGAAAAAAAAGACATCCTTTACAAGAACAGCACTGCAAAATGAGGCCAATGTGAGCCTAATGGGTGGTGGAAAACAGTGAGCCGTTTTTTTCTCCTCCCTAATGCAAGCCTGCAGGGGTTTATTTGCCAGCATGTATGAGTCTTAGGGCAAATCATCTTGATGAAACTCTACTACAACAGGAGCTCAAAATAAATCATTGTAGTAGCGGGGATCTTATTTGGAACCAATTAGAGTTTGTGCAGCTTGTTTCCCCTTGACAGCTTTAATGAATCTATCAACACAAAAGTACCAGGACATAAAAGATTTTACAGTAGTCTCCATTAGGATGAAGGCCACCAGCTATCTAGTTCCTTCCGCAGTACTATGCAGTGCTTTTAAAAGATGAAGAAGGTTGTTATGATAAGGTAGTCATGTGTGAAGAACCAGGAGGGCTAGAAAGAGTTGAATAATTTTGTGGTATTGTAAATGGAGGAGGAGACGCTCCCCAGGACAATTGCTCTTCCCTAAGCTGCAGAAAGACTTGCAAAAACCTGCTTGAAATCTATGCAAACTAACTCAGCTAGGTACAGTAAATTCCAAAATCCTGTATTACTATTAGAGGAAATGAACTCTCTTTTTATTTGTCGTTGGCTGTAACATAGCTTCATATTAAAAGTTCATAGCATATTTCCAAAATATGTTATGCCATTTGGTTATATTTCATCTGAAAATCATAGAAAGTCTGCTGTATCATCTCCACTCTTTGGTGAGTACAACCACCGCGCAACAATCTGCTGAACACTATTCCCTGGCTCTTACTGGAGTTCTGTTCCTGTTTCATTTAACTCTTCAGTGCACTCTAGACTGATAATGTCTGCCTAAGTGCGTGAAAAATAGCATAGTGCTGCTTAGAAAAGGAAGAGAAAAGGTATAAGCTCAACAGAGACATTAAGAAGGGGAGGTTCTGTTGACGAGGGGAGGTTCTTGACTGTGTAAAAGTGCAGTCCTGTCTGTATTGTTATCATTTTCCTTTATCATCTCATGTGTTGTAACAAAAGAGAGTGTAATTATCCAGTACTAAGTGTGTGAGTCAGGGAGAAAACATAACACATAGTTGTTTGAAAAGCTACTTAAATTTCTGTTGAGGGTTTTTACAATGTCAGTATAACTGGAATGATGTTTTTTGGGGGTGAAATATTCAATGTGCTGTTTCCACCCAAAGATAAGGAACTATTGTACCCAAGCTCTTCAAAGCTGATTAGTAAGAATGGAGGCAATGGTTACAGCTACGGTGAACCTTAACGCATCTCAAACTCTGTTCTTAGCTGTGCATCAGGCAATTAAAGCTGTTTTTAACTTCCAGTCTTTAAAAGGAAATGGACTTGATATTTTAAAGGATATTAAAATACTAAGCATCTTTTAAAGGCTATTGTAAATAAAACTTACAACCAAACGAATTAAAAGGGAATGGAACTTTGGGATGTCATTACAGTATTTTCTTACAGGTTTCCTGTGTAACACTCTTTCCTCCAAAGGAAACTCGGTAGACCAGGGAAAAGAAAGAATTAGTGCTGTTTTATGTAATGTTATTTACTCTTTCATGTTCCGTAGGACCTCATTAGAAGGATGATAGATGAGTTCCAGCAGCGTGTGCATGTTATAATAGGCAGTACAAATGAGATTATAATATGAGAATCCTTGATGATGCGCAGGGAATTAAGAGGCAGTAGCACATATATATAGGCAAACGTGTTCAGGGGGATTGAGCATTGGGTAAGTCTTTCCAAGAGAGGAACTACAGAGCTGGAGGCTGAATTAAAGGCCTCAATCTTCAGGAGTCCAACCCCTGTGCAAAGCGGACTGCACAGGTGGGTGCCCAGATGGGTGCTGAATTTCTCCATAGAAGGAGACTCCACGACCTCCCTGGGCAGCCTGTTGCAGTGCTCCATCACCCTCACCGTGAAGAAGTTGTTATGCTAACTGGTAACAACACAAACTCGCCCTGCGTGGGTAACGGGAAGGGAACCTCCCTCTGTCTGCTGAGTGGGAGCTAGGCAAAGCGGTTTGCATTTTTGGTTTGTGCTTTTTGTGTGGGTGGGAAACAAAGATTTCTTCTTTGATCACAGGCCGCTTGGACTTTGTGTGGTGATATAACAAACGGAACGTCTTTTAGAGTGAAAACCTTTTTCAAACATTTCTTAACGATGCAAGCAGTGTCGTTTGAAAACTGTTGTACTCTGAGCCCACACCTTCTCCTTTGTACAAACAACCGCAGGAGAGGTGCGCTTCATCTACCCTGGGGTTTGCAACCTGTGCTGCCGCAGAGGGAAGCGGCTGCCATTGTTTGCGAACCTGCCTGCAGCCAGCAGCGACACTGGGGATGATGTTGGCTAAGAGCACGAGATGCTAGCCGAAGCTTTCTGCTGGTGTTGGAGCGGGCCGGGGGCCGCCTGAAAGACGCGTTATGAGAAATGCACGCCTTTCCCTGCCAGAACCTCCTCAGCAGGATAGGAGCGAGCTTCCCAAGGAAGCGAAGTATTTTGGAAAACGTGGACAGAGCCCAAATGCGAACGGGCTCTGCCCCCTGCGCTGGATGGCGGCTTCCTGCGGGAGGTGTTCCCGCATCCCACACAACTTCCCATCGCAACGTGCCTCCTTCTGCCCGGCGGCGCTTCAGTACCTGGCCGCAGCCCGCGCCAGCCGTTCCCCACCCTAATCTCATTTCCTACAGCCGAGGACCGAAGCTCCGCGACAGCCCTCGGCGCGTTCCCGCCAGCTGCCGAGCCGGGGAAAAGAGGGCAGGCGAGGCGAGGCCGCCGAGCAGAAGGGGCGGGCCGGGGGGCGGGCGCCGCGCCGCCACGTCACGGAATTCCAGGCGCTCGGCCAATGGCGGCGCGGGGCGGCGGGACGGCGGCAGAGGGCGCCGGGCCGGGCGGGGGGCTGCCCGCGGCACCCGCACGTTCGTGAGGGACGGCACCGCGCGCTCCGGGCCGGACCCCAGGAGCGGCACGGCCGCTTCTCGCCCATTTCCCGCCCTCCTCCGCGCAGCTCCACGAGCGGCGGGTTGGGCGGGTCCGGCTCCCCGCCAGTCTCGTCTTTCCCCCTCGCCCTCCGCAGCGAGGCCCCGCGCGCCGCTGGGCGCCGTTGCGCGGCCGTTAAGCGCCCGGCGGGGGCGGGAATCCCCCACGGCGAGCGGCGTGCCTTTTGTGTTTGTACACACGGCGCCGAGGGAGGGGGCGGGGCCTCGGCCGGGGCGGGGCCTTCCCTCCATTGTGCCCCATTGGCCGGCGGGCGGGGCGGGGGCGCGGCCCGGCGGCGGCCCGGCCCACTCCGGTCAGCCATCTTTCAATTGTGCTCGCAACCGCCGCCGCCGCCAGCAGCAGCCGCCGCAGCTCCGGCTCCTCCTCGCGCCCGCCCTCGGCCCGCCCTCCTCCCTCCCCCCCCCCCCCCCCGCCCCCCCCCCCCCCCCCGCCGGCCGGGGGACGGCGGCGCCCCCCCCCCCCCCCCCCCCCCCCCCCCGCCCCCCCCCGACCCTCCCCACAAACTTTTGGTGCCCCGCGGCCCGCTCCCCGCCGCCGCCGCCCCGCGCCGCCCTCCCCTTCGCTCCCCCGCGTCGCCGCTCGCTCCGCCGGAACCCCCGCTCCGCGCGGGCGCCGCTCCCCGCTCGGCCCCGCTCCGGACCCCCCCCTCCTCCCCTTTCGGCGGCCTCCCCCGACCCTCGGCGGCGCCCCGGGCCCCGGTTCCCCCTGCATCGGGGCCGGGGAGCGGCGGCGGAGAGCCGCCGGGGCCGCCCGGGACCTCCCGGCCGCCGCCGTCTTCCCCGCTCCCCGCGGTTGTTGCTCAGCTTCACCATCTTGTCTCTTTTCTCTGGTCACCGACCATATTTTTTTTCCCCCCTATCGCATAAAAAACGATCGGGAGGCAGAGAAACGCGCTCCGGGAACGGCCCCAACGCGCCGCGATTTGGGGGTTTTCGAGCGCAAACTTTTCCGCCGCCCCCCTCCAGCGGCACCCGCGCGGCTCGGAGCCGCCGGCGGGGTTCCGCGCCTCGTTTTTGGCGACAGATCCCTTCCTGCTCGGCGCGGGGCTGCGCTCGGCGGCTGTTTCCATCTTGCGCTGCGGCCGACGCCGGAGTTCGCCCGCGAGAGGCGCCGCGGAGCGGGGCGCTGCCGGGAGGCTCTCCTGCACGGAGCGAGGGGGGCCCGGCCGCCACCCCCCGAAAGTTGCCCTCTCCCTTCGTGCTCGTCCCGGCCCTTCCCCCGCCCTTCGGGCGCCGCGGACGCCCGTCGGCCGCTCGCTCGCTCGCTCGGTGGGGCCGCGGGGCGGGAGGGAGAGAGGGGCGCGGGCCGGCTCGGGGAGGGGGAAGGGGAGGTAGGAGCCGGCCGGGGGTGCCCTGCCGCACCGCATCGCGGCCCCCCGCCGCTCCCGACGGCCGGGGGGGGCTGCGGGTTCCGCCGCTTCCCGGAGGGAGGGGGGAGGAGCGGGAGGGCGCTCTGGGGTTAACGGCTCCGCTGGGCGGAGCGGGCCGGCGGCGCGGCCGCCCCCCCACCTCCCCCCGCACCCCGCGAGCGGGTGGGGCGGTGGGGCAAGGCAAGGCGGGGGGGGAAAGCGCCCCGGCCGCGAGGTGAGGCGGGCGTCTTGTCGCGGCAGGTGTAAGGCAGCGACGTCGGCAGCAGCATGGCCCGTACCAAGCAGACCGCCCGCAAGTCCACCGGCGGCAAGGCGCCCCGCAAGCAGCTGGCCACCAAGGCGGCCCGCAAGAGCGCGCCCTCTACTGGCGGGGTGAAGAAGCCGCACCGCTACCGGTACGCAGCGCCACCCGGCGGCACCGCGCCGCTCGACTGCGGGGGGGGAAGGTCGGGGCGGGCCGGGCGGCGGAGAAAGTTCGGCGTGGGGGGAGCGGGGCCGGGCGGGACGGAGCGTCCGCGGAAATCAGTGTTAGCGGGAGAAGGGCGTGCTGTCGGTAGTGGCGGCGCCGAGATGAGTGCTGGGAAATAACACCGCTCCTGATGCGGGCTGCGCGATACGGCAGATACATTTTTTTTCTTTCCGGGAATTTTGACACGGCATGAAGTCATCAGGCAGGAAGAAACGTGTCCCTGCGAGCGTGTGTACCTGTCAGGATGACTGCAGGGATGGTGGCTCTGGGGTCATTGCACGAACTAACTGACAGCGCTGTGCTGAGCCCGCCGCGTACTGTCAGGACGTGTGCCCAGCACCCTGATCGCTATGATCAGGACCTCTGGTGGCCTGATGCTGTCCTGTGCCCTTGAGGGGAGGGATGCTACTGGGACAGTGGGAGTGCACACAGATGAGTGGTGAGTGACGGAAAAAGGGAAAACAAGTTCCTGTGGCTGCCACCAGGATGCTTCTAATGAAAGCAATGCGTTGACAGAGCACTGGAACAGGATGCCCAGAGAGGCTGTGGGGGTCTCTTTCCATAGAGATACTCAAGACCCACTGGGACACTCACCTGTGTGCCCTCCTGTGGCGAACTGCTGAAGTAGGGGATGGACAAGATGATCTCCAGAGGTCTCTTCCATCCCCTAAAATTACATGTGTTTTTTATGTTCAGTTCAGTTTAGGTCATGAACCTTCTTAAGGTGATGCAGAATTATGTTTTGAATACTAATTCTCTTTTTAAAATTATTATCGTCTATTGTTAAAGGCCTGGTACTGTGGCTCTCCGTGAGATCAGGCGCTATCAGAAGTCTACCGAACTTTTGATCCGCAAACTTCCCTTCCAACGTCTGGTGCGTGAAATTGCTCAGGACTTCAAAACAGATCTGCGCTTCCAGAGCGCTGCTATCGGTGCTTTGCAGGTAAGTGGTACTGGGAGCAGCACCTCACCTGATGGCACTTAACAGCTCCCTCAAGAAGCTGTGCTAAAGCACGCACCCATCTGCTTTCCCAGAGATCTGCAAGATCGCTGGGAGAGGTTTCCAAAAAAAATGGTACTTGTGAGGACACTACTGTTCCTAGTGTGAATGCTGCAACAGGGAGGCTCCCAGCCTAACTCAGAAATGGAAGGCAGGGCTCGGCCCCACCAGTCCTGTTGGGCAGTTGGATTTTATGGTTGGCTCCAGCTGCATTGTGCTGTGGTGGGCACAGCTCCAACATGGAGGACGCACCGTAACGTGCATCCTTTGTTTACAGTTGACTTGATGTTGGTCTGCAGGTGCCGCAGCTGAAATGATATAGTGACAGGTCAGCAGCTCCTTATAACAGGTGTCAATGTATCTTATTTAACTGGCCATCCCGCCCTTTCTCCCAGCAAAAGAGTAGCACAGTTAATAAGACGCTGTAGATAAATCCATCTACCCTAAGCTCCAAACATGAACAAACGTCTTACCTTTGGAAGAATGGAAAGTGTTGAAAGTAGAACTTGTTCCAGTCTGTCCAAACGAATGTCTTGATGTCCTGAAATTCAGGTTAAAGAAAAACAGCTCGCTGAGCCACATCTAAAAGTGGTTGAAGAAATGGGTATTTGTGTAAAGTGGTTTATACTAAGCACAATATTTTTATTGTGTTAGTTAAATAACTTAAAATATGTTGAGGGTGAAGCATTGATTGCTCCTCCTGAGCCAAATTCCTGGCAGTCTGAGTCTAGTATAAGCTACCTAGAACTCAGTATTTCTGTTCAGTTAGTTCTACTGAGGTTCCTTTTGCTCTGTCTGTTCTGAAAACTGATGGACTCCAGCTGTGTGGTTGTGCTTCCCAAATCAAGTGCCCAAAGGTTTAGTCTTGTTAGATCTCCTCCAAGGCTTTGTTCTTATGAGAGTGAAAGAATTTTCTCATGATAGAAGTATATTCCTGATTCCAAAACCTAGTTGTAGAGCATCTTGTCTTTTCTGTAGAGTAGCTCTCTTTCTGACTATTGGCTTCCACATGGAAAGGGCCAAAATGTGCACCATGAAGTCCTACAAACTTGAGCACATACTTAGCTTTGAAAGGTGACTGCATGCATTTCCAAGGTTGCTGCTTTTTCTTGGTGTTCTGACTTCACTCCTGGCTGTGAATATGGTAATTCTTCCATCCTGAGGTTTATTGATGCGTTTGTGTTGTTTTGTTCTAAACTGGAAGTGCTTGCCAACATGTAGACCGTAGTTGATGCATCTTCAGAATACTAGCTTGAATGTTCCAGGTTGTTGACTAAGCAGTTGTTGGTATAGAAGTTGTTTGTGGAATATTCATAGTGCTTCCTACTTGCATATTTCAGAAAAAGAAAAACAAGCCCAGCCTTAACCCTTTCAGTACTGTATTATTTAAGTATGGTTTACTTGGTGAAATTTCTTAACTTTTCATGTAGTGAATTAGCAGAACTGTGTTGGAATAACACAGAATATCAAGTAACTTAATACTGCAGTCCTCATCTGCAGTAAATATTTTTCTTCTAATTTAATGTTGTATGTAACTTAATTGGTTTTTTGTAGCTCACATAAGCTGTTGCTTTGGATGCATTCTGAGAGGATGGATCTCAGTCTTCTTTCTGGAAATTAACCCCATCATTTCTGCCTGCTCACCCTGTGTGCCAAGTCATGTTGGCATGATTCTTAGGAGGTTGTTAGATGCTGGAATTCTGAATCGACCTGAGAACGTCAAAACAGTTGCCACTGCTGTGCTAGGCCTAATTAGCAGCAAGCTTAAAGTGAGCCAGGAGAATAATTAGGTCTAAGCGAGCATCTGTCTAACCCCAGATCCTGCCTGCAGTGTCATAGTAACAAGGACAGGATTGTGGTTTTGTTAGGACTGGGGTTGTCCTTTTCATTCCTGAGGTGCTGGCCCTGGGATTCACAAGTGTGAGAGCCTTCTGTATTAACAGGGCTGTGCCCTCCATGCTCCAAACAAGCAGATAATGCTTATGGAGTGTAATGGTAGAAAGACCAGCAGAGTAGAAAGATGTTACAAAGAAAAGATTGCTCACCTGTCTCCAAGGATCTAGGTTCACAGAGAAGGGATCTCCAGGAGACCTTTCCAGAGTGGCTGGAAGCCCTTAAATGAGGTTCAGTAGAGGTGGAGCCTGGCTCCACCTCAGCGTGAATTGCCTTCACCTGTACTCCCAGGGCTGATTGGGTCTTGTCTTCAGGTGTTAATCGGTGGTTTAGGCTGTGATTACAGGGAGGAAGAGACTGTAGGAAAAGGAGAGCTGTCTAATGGTGGTTTTCAGACTGCTGTCCTGCTTTTGGTGATGGAAGAAGTTTCTGAATTAAAGGTGTTGTCCCCTTACATCTAACAATTTTCCATATGGTTTTTTCTGCTAGTTTGTGACTT